TAGCATCATCATGTGAAATTAATTGTTGGGTGGCACAATTTACTGAAGTATGATAAAAATACAAATTTAGGGCTGCGCCTGTGGCTCAGTGGGTAGGGCACCAGCCCAATATATGTAGGGTGGCAAGTTCAAACCCGGCCCCAGCCAAACTGCAACAAAAAAATAGCCAAGCATGGCAGGCACCTATAGTCCCACTTACTCGGTAGGCTGAGGCAAGAGAATTACTTAAGCCCAAGACTTTAAGGTTGCTGTGAGCTGTGATGCCACGGCACTCTACCGAGGGTGACAAAGTAAGACTGTCTCAAAAAAAAAAAAAAAAAGATACAAGATTATAAAGTACTTCTTAAGTTTTTGTGTGAATTAGAGTTCAACCAATAATGAAACAAAAGCCCAGAGTGGTTAAGTGAATTACCCACAGCTATAAGTAGACTGTCAACAGAATGTGAGAATATGACACAGGTTCTCAGACTCCCAGTTGAGTTTTGTTCTTCTGGACAGGCTGCCCCTTGTAATTAAGGGCTATAGAAAATTTACTATTTCAAAGGCTGAATCGAAAAACAGACACTATTCAAAGGTTGCTGAAAGTCAAGCCTTTTAGGAAGAAAGGCATCACTTTGTCTTTTCGTTTTTGAAGCTGTTCTCTGGGTCCTTCTTAAGATTTGAAGTTTTGTTATTTAGATGAGGGTTCGGGGAACTTCTTCCATAGATTACTATACAGTAAATATTTTAGGCTCAGGGGCCAGACAGTGTGGTAACTATTCAACTCTGAGAACTCACCTTTCCCATTAAACATAAGATATATATGGGCAGGGCTGTGATCCACTACAACTTTATTTACATAATCAAGTCCACAGGCCACCATGGTTTGTTGACTTGATTTGGGATATGGTTTAAAATGATTTCATAATTTCTGTGCCTAAAGCAAATAAATAAGATCGTTTATTATGTGACACTCACAAGATCATCATTTCTAGAATGCATGTTTTTAGGAAGTTTCTTCAAGCTCGTACATATCAGGGGTTATCCAAACCTATACACATGAAAGTAGGATGCATTCTATGTAGAGAAGATGTGCTTAATAAGAAGTAACTAAGAAGAGAAGCATTTTCTATTGTTAGTAGTTTCCTTTGGAGTAATAGGGCTGGGTTCAAATCCTCCTTTAACCCCTTGAT